AGAGAGAGAGGGAAAAAGAGGGAGAAAGAGAGAGAGAGGGAAAAAGAGGGAGAGGGAGAGAGAGAGGGAAAAAAGAGGGGGAGAGAGAGAGAGAGAGGGGGAGAGGGAGAGAGAGAGAGAGCGTGCAAACAGAATACGATATTTTTTAAATAAATCCCAGTACCAATCTTTACCTTCTAATTCCTTCTTTTTACAAATATATATTAAAATGCAAAATACACAATGTAGATAAAATATTAATGAGAAAACAGATTTGCTGTGGAAAATATTGGTGACGAGAATCGAGGATATTATCATGGATATAATCAGTATCTTGCATTTATGCTTTCGCTTGTCTTAAATGGTTAATACTGACTTCTAGATAAAGATTCTAGATATATAGAAGCACGTCGACAAATACGTTCTATATTATGTTATATATACGTTATATACAGAATGTTGCATTAATATATAGTGACTATTTGTGCATTAATATATAGTGAACACCGAGATAATTTGCAATGCCGTAAACTTCATTGGAAAAAAGTGCGCAAGTGGGTATACTATTAAAGTCTACTGAATCCTTGTAGATTATGCTTGCTCAGCAACAAGTTTTTAAACAGTCGCACTAATTGGTATGTTGAGGCAACACCTTATACAAATAAATATACAAGAAATATCGATAAAAGCATACGCGTTCTAAGTGATGTGAATATATATATGATCGGACGGATCGCTCTTCGGTTAATATGGTTACGCAACGCTGCAAGCGTGTAACGGAACGCGTTTACACACCACACACACGCGCGAACGCAATATTCGTGTTGAAATATAAAATTTTATCGCAGCAGAATATAGACGTATGGGTTTATGTAGATGGGGACAAGGAGAGAGTGTTCGTGCAAATAAAGAGGCGAGACGGAAGGGCATATATCTTTTATAAAAAAAAACAAGAACAAAGGTAGCTCACGTGGCGGCACCGCTGCGATAAAATCTGCACTCAGATATTCACTGCCAGTATTGAAAATTTATAGTTCATATTATGTATACCATATCAATTTTCAATATTGCTAGTAAATATTGAAAAGTCAAAATAAAACGTTTCATTTAAAGTGATTTCTTCGAACGTAAAAGACATGGACATCTCACTTGCACTGAGAGAAATTATTTGATAAGAAATTAACAAACGGATATTTCCGATTAAAATACCGATTTTTGTATTCGATTTTTGTCGGATTTTGCCGGATAATTTCTCTCAGTATGCTTGATCTTGGGTTTGAAATCGATAGATTCTGAACTTTAAATATATGTTATCATCATAGGATTTTTCGATACTATGTTATCAATTTAAATTGCATTGGATGAAACGTAGAAGAAATGTTAGGTTTTTATTTAACCCTTTGAGGACGAGGGTTGCTGAAAAAGTGAATTATGGGAAAACTAATGTTTAGGGGTAATTTTGGGTCGCTGAATCCAAATCTGATTTTAGCATTTCAAAATTCTGTAATCCAAGATGACGGGTTCAATATGGCCGCTGTAGAAGTAGTCAAAAATGCAAATATCATTCAATATCCATGAAACTCATATTATAGGGGTATTCGATGGTGCTCTTTTGATTCTGAAGGCATAAATTCAAAATTCAAAATGGTGGATCCAATATGGCCAACGAAGGGGTAAAAAAATTCGAATGTTGCTTGAAATCCATGAAATTCACATTACATGGGTTAGTCCGCCATATTAGATTCGTCATTTTGAATTTTTACTTTTAAAGTCAGATTCAAATTTAGTGACCATAAAAAGCAAACCCATTATAGCAAACTTCATGATAATTGGAAGAATAGTTATCAATATTGTTCGCGACTCGAGCCAACACGTTGGAGAGTCGTCGCGAGGAGAGCGCGAAACTCTCACGTGCCTTCCACGTGGATGCGGTATTCAGCGGCGCGTGTCGGGCAAACGTGAAGAATGTTGACTCGCGCTTTGCGTTGTCATAGCAACCACGTCCAAACAATGGTTCTGCGAATCGCCAGCTGCGAATGGCACGCGCCGTGGAGCTTCGCATCTCGCGAGACATCTCCTTTTAAGGAAATTTCGGTACGCGACCAGCGGTCGCTTTGCTCGCAACTAACCAACGAACGACAGAGACGAGTAGAAAAAAAGCTTGCTCCACGCGGCAGCTAGCTGCGGTTTGCAGAAAATGATACAGTCTTGCAGCAGCTGAACTACCATCGAGACGTCGGTAGAGATTCGGAGCAATCCATCGCTTATTCGCGTATCGAGGAGTAAGTTAGCTACGTCCGATTTCCTCTTCGCAAATCGCTCGCTTTTCGTAAGGCCATCGTAGACGACAGACAGAAATCTTGTCTCTATACCGGTCTGCTGTCGTCTTCGCATCTGAGCGGCCCGATTAGCTCAATTTCAATTCTCATATCTCTGGGTCGCCGTTTGCCATCGGCGACCGCTTCTTCATCGTAGGACGATCCAACATTTAAGGAAACACCCAAATAAGAAAACAGAACAGAATAGTTTATTAATTAACAGACCACCCGTTTACAACAATATATATAACCTGAAACTTGACAAACTAAAGTAATTGCTACCTGTGGTTTAGAGTCGAAGAGCGCGTCCGATGCTATCGTTGTTATTTATATATTGCTTGGACCTTTCCTTTCCTTTGTCGTCTGTTGTTATTGATTTAACGCTGTTTATATAATCTAACATTGCTTTATCGTTTGATCTGACATTATTAAGCTAACAGACGGTTATAAAATTTCTTACAACTCGTCCATCCTGTAGGATACATTCGACCTCGCATGTATTGAACATAAACTTTTTTTTTCTTTTTTTTCGGAGGAAATTCTTTCTTCGCAGGTTTAATACTAATAAAATTCTAACGCTTGAATTCGCTTAAAAATCTTAATGTTACAGTTTACGGTCGCAAAATAATACAAAAAATAAACACCTAATCTAAATACAAAATTATACGGTTAACTAAACGCATCAATTAGGATTCATCGGTTTTATTCACCATTTCAATTTCCGAAGACAATACCGTATTTAATGGACGTGGTGTTAAATTAAAACCCAATATGTTTTGGACTACATAGCGATTTCGCCCCAAAACTTTCGTTATTATACAGTATGTTTGATAAGAGCGTGTACGGCAAAACTCAAAAACTTAGGATAATACATAAATTGAAAAAATTTGTACACATTATGCATGATATAGACTGCGATGCTTTATTATTAATAAGTTGTCCAGTCGCCTCCATTATCAATAATTGACTGGCATCTCCGAGGCATACTTTCTACTAATTTTACAGCATAATCTTCAGACAAAGATCTCCATATAAATCGAATCTGTCGAATTAACTGCTTGACGGTCCATATTTTCTTTCCTCGGAGCTTAAACTTTATAAGCGCCCAAACATTTTCAATTGGATTTGCATCTGGCGACTGTGAAGGCCAATCCAGTACGTCAACGTCATTTTCTTGTTTCCACGCAGTACAAAGTCTACTCCGATGTTTCGGATCATTGTTGTTGTGACGCTGGTGTCACCTTGTAAGGAAGGCTCGTTCGCCAAGGCGGATGTAAGAATGATGACTCTCTTTGTTATAACAAATGCCGTTTATTTGGTGTCTCGGATGCAATGAGCTGTGAGGCAGGCGATAGACGATATGCACGATATAATAATCGATGCCCTTGTTCCAAAGCGTATCTCGGTATCTTACAATTTGCTCGACGTTAAGAAGGTCTCGCTGCTAATAACGAAAAAAAAGAAGGTATCTGGCCAGCAAACGAGACTTCTATTGCGGTATGGGTCGCGCTTTGTTCACCGAAAGAAAACAACAATAATAATTTCGGGAAGCGGATTTCGGTAATTTATCGTGGCGAGACAAAGACGATATCCAACGATAACCACGTTGTTTTTTCTCGCGTCGCGTGACTCGTTCTCACACGGCACGAAGAAATATTATTGTTGATATCAACATCGCGGTTCGTCCAGGAGAGATATACGCGTGTTTGGAACGGTATCGATGTGCGATTGCTTTGTTGTCCTGGAGAATATTTACTTGACGATGATTCCGAAACATACCGCCCGTCTCGAATGCTAGCATTCGAAATAGTTAGCCTGAAAGTACGCGGAATACAATCACGATATAACGACGCAAAAAAAAAAACAAAGAAAAGGGTTTGGCTACTGAATACAGAAATCGTGACACAATACGAAGAGAAAAAAAAATTAAAATTAAAATTAAGGCTTACGATATCGATGATGTCTGCTATTCTACACGGACACTCCGCCCGCCGTGACGGAATCCTTAGAATCCTCGGTATTAATCGTGACAGGTAGAAAGCAGAGTTTCGCTATCGGTCGCTTATATTCCGAACAACTCGTTCTTACTGTTACGACGCGGGTTAAATTGTCCTCGCCGGGATGACAAGCGGTAATTCGGCCAAGTGCCCATTGGCTCGGTGGAGCCGACGGGTTACGCACGAGGACGATTTGGCCAACTTTGGCTAGTCGCTGGACGACGCGCCATTTTGGGCGTTGTTGAAGGGTATGCAAGTAATCGTTCGACCATGACTTCCAAAAACTTTCGGTGATTCGTTGGACCATTTGCCAACGCGACAGTCGGTTTTCGTTTAAATCAAGCACGCTTGGTTCAGCGGGAGCGATAAGAGGAGTTCCAATTAAAAAATGACCGGGAGTCAGCGCGTGATAATCGTCGAAATTTTCAGAAACGGGAGCGATCGGACGCGAATTAAGGCATGCTTCGACTCGACAAAGGAGCGTCGACATCTCCTCGAACGTTAGCGTGTGGAGGCCGATGCATCGTTTTAAATGATGCTTAACACTTTTAACGCCGGCCTCCCACAGGCCACCGAAGTGAGGCGACGCAGGGGGTAGAAAATGCCACGCGGTTCCGTCGTGAGCGAGTCGGCTGCGGAAGTTAGGATCGCGTATTGCTGCAGCATGGGCCTGTGAAAGTTCACGATCGGCGCCGTGAAATGTGGTTCAGTTATCAGAATACATGGACGTCGGTAGTCCTCGACGTGAGACAAATCGTTGATATGCTGCGATAAAGGTAGGAGATGTGTAGTCGCTGACGAGCTCTAAGTGCAGAGCTTTGGTCGTGAGGCACACGAACAACGCAATATAGGCCTTTTGCGATTTATGCCCTCGACCAGGCGCTGTGCGGACAACGATCGGACCTGCATAATCGACGCCGGTATGGATAAAGGCGCGAACGGTGCGGTTGACTCTTGCAGCCGGAAGGTTACCCATGAGTTCGACGGGCACGGCGGCGCGTTCACGCGTGCATGGTATACACTTGTAAAGGACGGATCGAACAGTGGCGCGAGCCCGGAGAATCGAAAATTCGTTCCGCAATGACCTGAGCGTTAATTGTGAACCGGCATGCAACGTTCTCAGATGATGATGCTGGATAATAAGCACCAACAGCGGATGCGTGCGTAATATGATGGGATTCTTCATCGCTTCTGGTAAGCAAGCTCGACGGAGCCTTCCTCGAATTCGAATGAGTCCGTGTTCGTCCATATACGGATTAAGAACAGACAGCGGACTGCTCTTCGGCACCGATCGCTTCTGGCTAAGAGCAACGATCTCGTCACGGAACATGTCTGATTGCATGATTTTGAGCCAGTAACATTTTGCCTTCTGAATTTCGTCGGGAAGCAAAGTCGCGGAGGTTTGTGGTGGGTGTGTAGAGCGTCGGATTCGACTGAGAAATCGGTACAGGTAAGCGGTAATGCGTAGCAGTTGTGGCCACGAAGAGTAACGCGACGCGAGATCCCAATTGCACATAGCATGCAAGACATAGTTCGATGGTTCCGGGCGTTGTTCGAGCGGGACATCAGCGGATATCGGAGGGCACGAGTTCAGCCAAGCGTCGGAAGAGTGGTGTAGCCATGGAGGGCCTGACCACCATAAGGCATGATTTTCGAACAGATCAGGAGCGAGACCGCGTGACGCGCAGTCCGCGGGATTGGTGTGCGTCGGAACGTGCCGCCATGAGACTCCGGGAACGGTGCACTTGGACACGGTGCATTTGGACACAGCCAATCACAGCACCGTGTGATTAGAGACATTTGTAGGGTCCCTTGGAACAGCGACTTGTGATTGGACTGTGTCCAATTGCCCCGTGTCCAACTGATATACACCC